TACATCATTTCGTACCCGAGGCTTGTATTTATCGTTGAGTGTGCACAACGTGTCGTGTTCGCCACGCTTGTGGGGACCGTCGATGAAGGAGGAGTTGCTAGACTGTGCGAAACACAACCAGTTTCTAGAGAAATATCCCCTTCCCTTCGAGGACAACTTGACGGGGAGTGAGTCGTACTTCTGCGTGCATGTTGAACTCTATCGTTTCCCTTTCGCTAGGGTTTTGTGTGTTTCGGTAAGAAATAGAAGTAAGACTTGAGCGGAGGCAGCTATTTACGTGTCCAGAAACGAGCTCATCGTTGACGGGGACATGATTTTGTTACCGCATGGTTATAGGAACGGTAAGTTTCAAGTTGACGTGAAATTGGCGGGGCAGGTTGACGCACCCCAGCATTGGGAGGAGGTCCAGGAGTAGATGACGGTCATTCGAGACGCCATCGATCACACTTTAGTCAGAACATGTGGTTTCGTCCGAGCGCGATACATGTCTCGCTTCTCCGCTACTGCTACCCTGTCTAGTCCCTACCTCCTGACGTACGGTTCATCCCTGGACGAACTGTACGGTTTCGGGGCTAAACGATAAATGAGAGCGTAGGAGAGGTCGTGGGAGATGAACAGTGTAAGAAATGTGAGTTATTCAGCAAGAGTGTGAACTGAGACTAAGAAATGTGAGCTATTCAGCAAGAGTGTGAACTGAGACTATGTATGTTATGGGAGCAGTAAGTTTGATGTGAGATTGTCGATGCCGATTACATGCGTTGAGACTGTGTATCGCTCGTTGTGGGTGCCGATTGCATGCGTTGCCAATTGAATGCTTGGAATTGATAATGGATGTAGGTTTTGAATTCTGAATTGATAGCGGTGCATCGGTTGATAGTCGGCTGCCTCGATTGATGTGCCTTGTTTGATGTGACTTATTGGATACGCCGCTCACGTGTTCTGTTTGCTTGCTTTTGGATACGCCGCTCCCGTTCTCTGTCACGATGGCCAGCAACGATCGAGTCGAACATGATCGAGTTGGCCTCAAGGGTCGCGCCTCTCGTCACGTTTGAGTCGAACTCGATCGAGTTGGGCCATGGCCCGCCACGATTGGATACGCCGCTCCCATTCTCTATCACGATGGCCAGCAACGATCGAGTCGAACACGATCGAGCTGGCCTCAAAGGCCGCGCTGGCCCGCCACGTTCGAGTGGAACTCGATCGAGATGGGCCATGGCCCGCCACGATCGCGAGCACGCCTCTGGGTCACGAGCATGATCGCGATCTTTTGGGTCATGCTGGCCCACTACGATCGAGTCGAACACGATCGAGTCGAACACGATCGAGTCGAACACGATCGAGTCGAACACGAACATGATCGCCTCGAACACGGTCGAGTCCAGGCGAGCACGATCGCGGTCGAATTGAACACGATCGCGGTCGATTCGAACTCCATCTCCGGGGCTGCCTTGCCACGATCGAGCTGCGCTGCCTTACCACTATCTAAAACGTTTCACTTTTCTACTCGTCGTGCCATGCCAATGTTGGGCGACCTTCTGATATTTGGCTTTGCGGTGATGTGCTGTGTTGCTTTCAGATTCGACAACGCTGCAAAACATGGAACGAGAGGGGAAGGCAAGTAAACGACGAGCAAGTAAGAGTTCTGGGAGCATAGAACAATCTCCGAAAAAATCGAAGGGGACGCCGACCGCTGGAGGGGGGAGTCAGGATACACCGGGGACTAAGAGCCAACGCACCCCGGTTCCGCGGGTTGCGCCTTCCACAGGCACTCCGGTTCCACGGAGTGGGCCTTCCACAGGCATTCCGGTTCTGAGGGGTGCACCTTCCACAGACACTTCGTCGACTCGTGTTCGGGGCTCTGGACCGGATAAGGCTGTGTTGATGACTGGCGGGCCTGCGCGTCAGGAACGTGTGCCTGGTCCGCGGCAGGGAAGTTCTGGATGTTGGACTGGGTGGGGGAGATCGGAGAACCATCGAGTGGCCTTGTTCTATACGTGGTCATAAAAGAAAATATTGTGTCGGTTGGCGACCTGGTGAGGTGGACTGGACAAGATGCACCGTCTGCAATGTTCGAGTTGACGATGGTCCTGAATGGAAGAGGGGAAAGGATGTCGAATGTTAAACACGTCGCTCTTCGATGGGCCAAACACGCAGGATATGGCAAGTCGCTCGTTGATGTATTCAACACACCAGCGAGTACGAAAGTGAAGTTGCCTGACCTCGTCGACGTCCTCAGGTTTTTCGACAGTAATGTGATCGCGGGCGAAGAGCCGGTTGTGCATCCAGAAGACCTCATATCGGAGCCTAAATGTGTGCTTTCGAAAACCGTGGAGACTGGGTTTTCGATCACGATCCACGACACACCGCCGGCTCCAGAGCTGGCCTGATTGGAGAGAAGGGTCCGTACCGTGGACTGGTCGTGCCGTCAACCCCTGTGAAGTCCAGGCCAACGGCAACCAAAGCACCAGTTGCCTTGGGCAGTCAACCGCGCTATGCAGCAGCCACCAAAGGACCTCTCCCCTTGGTGGGCCAGCAGCGTTGCGACTACACTGTGCCAAGCCGCGCAGAGGAAGCCCTTGAATATTTTGAAGATGATGATGACGAGAACAGCGAGGAATATTCGGAACGAGCAGGAGGACAGGAACTGTATGCGGTGGGTGTCGGTGACATGACGAGGCGTTATGGGGAAACAAGTAAAGTGGTTGGACAAGATGAAGACACTGAGCACACTATCAGCGAATTGGGTGGAGCGGTTGGTCTGGCAGGGGGATATGGGGGCAGCGACGAAGGATGTGAGGGGGATGTGCATCCGACACGAGGGGGGGTGCACCACGAGACAATGGCTGTCACTGCGCATACAGATGCTGCAGGGCTCATCGAGCGAAAGAGGAAGCACAGGCAGGAGAGGAGAAGTGCTTTGGATAGTAAACAGAGTAAGCAAGAAGCGGGTCAGAAACGACAATTGAAACTATTGCCCGTGGATGAGGCGGTCCAGCGCATACGGGAGACTGAGGCGGCCACGAAGAAAAAACAGCAGCCAAAGCAAAAAACGGCAAAGGGTGGTGTCATGGAAAAGACTTTCGTTTTTCCTGCGGAACAACCACAATCGGATGAAGAGGCTGCAGGCAAGACAGTTACTAGGCCGCCAAGTTTGTGAAATGTGCCATCGGAGACTTCTTCTGGTGTTCTCAGCAAAGGCTTCTTCCTTGAGTTGGACGAGCATGGGAACCAGTGTCCAGACATGGAATTCATTTTTGTCAAGTTCGACAAAATTCTGGATATCCTCGACGGGGAATATAGATACAATTAACGCTATCTTGTGCAGCAGACGATTGATGACATTTATGACGCAATGGTTGCATCGGGTGAGACCGCTATCTGAGAGAGAACGACTGGAGCTGCCGGTGTAAATGTTTGTACATTGTATGAAAAACCTGTCCTTTTGTTGGTTGCCCTCCGTGATACAATGCATACTGACGCTTCAGGAAGGATTGTGAGAGCAAGGAGGGTGTTGCCCGATGAATTCGACCTTGGCTCTGTGAACAAGTACTACTACTACACTCTCAGCGGTCAGCATATAGTGGCGGCGGCAAGAAGGTGTTTTGTTGAACGCCATGACATCTCACAAGAGCTCCGATTGGATCGCTGGACTGCGAGACGTGTTTATTATCCGGGTAAGAGCATGAACAATTACGGCACGCTGAGCACTTTCCAGAACGCCAAGGACAAATGGAATACCCCACCGCACCAGATCGTGGTCATCCAGAACATATGGAAGTTGTGACACGCATCGAACTGTCTTGAAGCTAAAGGCGGCTCTGCGACGGAAGTGAAAAATGCAGATTATAAAAAGTTTGCAGGAGAGGCTCTTCATTTGACCGGGATTAATCATTTGGTTGACATGTCCCTTACTACTCAATGAAGCGGCCAGTGGTCCGACGCCCTCGGGCCCTACATGTTATTGGCAAGGGCGACATATGACGTTTTCGAAAAGGTGAAACAATTGTACGCCGCTTGGGAAGCTGGACAATTGTTGGGGAGAGATGTTGTGAAGCCTGCTACCAAACAAGGTGAATCAGGGAAGGCACCGAGGGCTGGACTCAGATTTGAGTTGAAAGGTGGAGTTAGGTTTCCGGTACACTGGGTTCAGGGTACCAAAGGACCGGGTTACCTCGTGGCTGTGCACGATCCGGATATCAGAGCATGGAAGCCTTTTTCAGCGCTTGGGAGGCATGAGCGGCTTTAACTGTTGCGAGACATTCTCACAGGCAATGCAATACTGACTCCTAAGCAAAGTAGAGTTGCTCAAAGTGTCGGGAAACATTCAATGGAGACATACGCGGAAATGGTGAAGATTGAAAGAGCAATGTTGAGGATGTTTCACTACTTCATCTTCATTTTTGACCCTCACAGGAAGTCGTCAGAGTGGACGGAACCATTCTTCGAGAACCTTTCTTATGTGTTTGATAAGTACCGCAATCAAGGATTGACCTCCGAGAGGTGGATCGACCAGCGTCGCCATTTCAAAAACATGAATTAGGTGTGAACGTTCCCGGCTACACTTGGAGGAGAGGAGGAAAAAGGAGAAGAGGGCTTCAAAAAAACAGCATCACTTGCTGCGAAGTGCCCCGAAGAGTTCGTGCAGTTTGTCAACAAGCTGCTCGGTAGATCAGAAACCAGGGGTTCGCAAAGCATAAGAATGTCGGACACGGCGAAATATATACATTTCCAAAAACAGAACGTGAAGTCTGTTTTCGTCCTGTTCCAATGGGAACCAAGCGATATTTCAGACGAGATGGATTCCAAGGAAATGTATAAAGTCGTCAACATCTAAGTTGCCACACGGCCGTGCTGGATTTGTGTCACCCAACCCAGATGGGGATGTGGACTGAAGAAGTCTTTGATGGTCTATGGAAGTTTATGGGAAAACTGGGTGGTGATTATTGGACATTATTGTGCTTCGTTCCGCGGTCTTGCGAATTTACATTTTTAAGCGAGTTACACGTTGGGACATTCACTTGTCTCTTATAAAGTGGACTCGTTAGCAACAAACGAAGGCGAAACATTCATATAAGGTTGCGAACTTGTCTTTAAAGGACACAGACAGAATGGTTGTCATCATGTACTCCAACGATGGGGATTATCACCGCAACACTATTCCCTTGCTTGAAGACATTCCAATAAGCACTCCAGCTGCAGATCGATCATCTGGCGAGCAGGCAGGTGACTTATCAGCACTTGTGCGCAGAGAAAGAAAGCCAAAGATGTTGACTGATGTCGTGGAGAAGAACTTCACGCCCACGAAGTTGAAAATGGCAGGTATGGAGCCAAAGGAGAAATTTGTGTACGAAGGTATGGAAAGAGAGTCAAATGCGATGGTGGAGACATTGGAGCATTTTTGTCCTGCGGATGAGGCGATTGTTTTCTTGGGAAAAGGTCATGCGGCGTTGATTTTGGAGTCGTTAAAGAGTCACCGTCATTGCATTGTTCTGGAAGGGGAGGGTATGAAGTTCGAGTTTCTCGTTCAATTCGTCAATAGGATGGTCGTGAGTGGAGGTTACTACGCCAAATTTATTAAGCCGCCTCCTCGACATGATGAAGGGCGTGATCTCGTCTACAAAGTCGGCCAAAACATCGTCAACATTTGGGAGTTCCTTTTCGAGACTAAGCCACAAAAGAGAGGGGAACGTGCATATGTCGTTAGAAGGCGAAAAATGAAATCACTTCTGAGGGGGTATCATAAGGCACCGGCGGAGACGGAAGTTGAATTTCTAGACCGTTTGGAGATGATGTACTTCGACGAACACATCGGGGCGTTTACAATCGCAGCTTATGCAACTTGTTTTGGGGAAGGCTTTGATGCTGAGGACTCAGAAGAAGAAAGTGAAGATGGTACTTTGCAAGCGGCTTTGGCGGATGAGAGGCAAAAAGCTTGTAGCTCGGCTTCGCAGAAGATGGGTGCGTCGGGCACATCGTACGGTTCTGGAGGGGCTTCAAGTATGACATTTTCAACGGACTAGTTACCGAATCGTCCCTCAACTTCTTCTCTTGTGCAAGTTACACCTTCTCACATGGCGGGCAACACAACAGCGCTACCTTCCGGTGCAGTTCGGGATGATCCGAGGGTGCAGGCAATGCTCTCCCCAAAGGTTATTGCAAGTATGTCAGCACTCGCACATGGCCCGAGTCCGAGGGTGCAACCAATGCTTTCCCCAGAGATTATTGCAAGTCTGTCAGCACTTGCACATAGCCCGACTGTTGTTTTGGAATTGCTACGCTCTCAAACTCCACAACAACCTCCGTCTGAGCCTTTGGAGTACGAGATTGGAGACAGGATCCCTACGGACACTGCACAGCTTCCTGAACCTATTGTGTGCCGAGATGATTATACGGTGATGCCTGACGACGTATGGGGTCATCACATTATATGACACCCCCAACAAAAGAAGAAGAAAAAAATAATAATAATAAAAAATAAAAAATAAAAAAATCATGTACCTACTTCCAATCTCTGTCAGCATTCATTCACATTCAGTCAAAAAGAAATAAAGAAAGGGAATGAAGTTCGAGGAACCCCACTTCAGAAGCTCAGGACAAAATCTGGCATGAACTCAAAATGCTGAAATCAACGATAACAACCAATCAGCTTGAGACAGCAATGAATGGCGAGGTAGCGCGACGAAGAAGAGCGCAATCCCAACCTTTTTTTTTTTTTTTTTTTTTTTGGGGAAGCCCAGCCTTTTTCTTGTTTACCCGCCTTTTTTTTTTTTTGTTTTGTTTTTTTAAAACGCAGCCGTTGGTGCTAGTGGTGCTGGTAAGACCAGACATCGCTAACACCTGGGGAGGGTTCCATCTATTGGTGGGAACTCTTTCTTTATGTTAGATAGCAATGACTGCCGAGAAGAAGGGGAGTGGCAATTTTGCCTCCACAGACGTATGCCAGAATCCAAGTTTGTCATACATGCCAAAAATCAGATTGGCAAGCGACTACCGCGACTTAATCCGAAGGTTTCTCAATCAAGATTGGATGCAAGGAGAGAAGAAAATTTTCAGGAGTTCAAAACATCTCGATGGCTTGAGTATCTGGAAGAGTTCTATGATTGAGAAACAAGTCCAGCTTTTGGATATAATTGGCGTATCGAAGAGGAACTTCAAGACAAAGTTGGGGAAAGGAAAGGAGCGAGCGACGATCCGAGTGGCAAGGGATCAGGATCAGGCGGCGGTGCGCGTGGCAAGGGAACAAGATCAAGCGGTGGTGAACATGGCAAGGGATCGGAACCACGGGGCGGTGCCAGTGGCAAGGGCCTGGGACCGAGCGTCGGTGCAAGTGGAAAGCCAATAACTCGTGGTGAACTGCAAAAACACGAAATGTGTCAAGAGCGTCAAGCAACAGAGGGAAAGGTATCAGGACCAAGCGGCGGTGCACATGACAAGGGATCGGGATCGCCTCTGGGATCAGGACCAAGCAGCGGTGCACATTGCAGGGGATTGGGTTCGCCTCTGGGATTAGGACCAAGCGGCGGTGCACATGGCAGGGTATCGAGAGGCGATGGAAGTGGCAAGGATTTGGAAGCAAGCGGCGGTGCAAGCGGCGGTACAAGCCTCAAGGGCGTAAGTCATGGAGAACTGCCGAAATGTGTCGAGGAGATCCTTCCGGATAACCAAGTTTGGGCAACCACTGTGTTGGCGAGCGAGAGTGTTACTATGCAAGTGGATAATATTGGTGCACTTGTAGAATTAGAGATGCCATCGTTGGATATGCCAGCTGAGAAAAATGAGCATGAAGTTTCTCTGGACATGAAGAATGAAAGCGCGACTGCAGGTGCAAAGGAAACTGTCAATGCACAAGTCATCAAAGAGGATGAAGGAAATATAGTACTAAGTACACGAGAGCAACATACGCTTGTACAGCCTGAACTTATGCTTGCAAAGTCAGAAGCACAACAGTCTGCTAACCTCGTGATATATATCGACGAATCTCCTTTTACGCCATCGTATGGTGCGATAGAAGGTCGTGTTGAAGACAAAGTGTTAGTGAGCCACCGAGGTGAGCACGTACTTATCTCTAAGGGAATATCTAATACTGTATGGGGATTAGGGGGTAGATTACATGCACTCATCTCATAGGAACTAATTTTTTGCCTAGGTTTGGAATCGTACGCTCGGTGATGAGAAGAAATGAAGTAAAATATTGTGTATCTCTTATTTGCAATTATGTAAAAAAATGAACTTAAACTCATAATGTTTTGTCTTGTCAATCATTGTCGTTTTGTATTGATGAACATGCAGGGTGACGAAAAGAACTGTGGAAAACGACACACGTACGTTCGCAAAGGCAGAGTGAGAAGAATATCATTCGTCGTGGCTTGCAAGCCTTATCAACTTTGCCGTTATTGCCCAAAAAAGAGAGAAGAAGACTTACACCCATGATATTTCCATCTATGAAGCCAGCTGCCCTAAGGATATTTAAAGCTGTTGGAATAAGCCTCAAAGAAGGGAAGAAATTGCATCGCGAAGGTTGCAGTTTATCTATTGTGGATGGCAGCTCTGATAGCGAAACAGATAGACAACCAAAAACATGAACTCGGGTCTACATCGTTCGTCACATAACGAAAAGTTCGTTTTTATATGAAGTCTTAGTCATTCCATTGTTGTTTATATGTGTGTTTGTATGCAGTTCATGACCCTTCGTTCCAGATTCCTTTAGCAACAGAACGCCTCACCGTAGAAGAAAAGGAGTATCTTGACATGATTACAGGCAGCAGCGAAGACAATGAAGCATAAGGCACTGTCGATTACAAGGGGAAATGGAAGGTGTGAAAGGAAGACGTCATGGTCTTCGCCAAGGATGGGAAATGGTTAAATGACGAAGTCGTCAATCTGTACTTGCCCGCCGTCCAGATCACCAATGACCACATTAAGGTTGATTCGGCATGTACAGAAGTGACAAGAGGTCATGAAAACTCTTATAGTGTTCCTTTGTGTACATTTTCAATTCATTTTTCTTCACTCGATTGTCAGGTGCTTCGAGGTTTGAAACCGCATATTCCGAAGGGATGAAATGGGTGAAGGACACAAATCTTTTTTATTATGACTTAGTGATTATCCCTCTTCATTTTGGAAATCACTGGGCCTTAGCTTATGTCAGCATAGACGGTCCGAACTGTAAATTTCACCTCATAGACTCTCTCCCTCGTGTTGACTATGTTTCAGTCCTTGAACGTTTGGAATATTTTTTCGAAGCGGAGTTTCATCGACACAATCTTCACGAAAGATATCATGTAGACAGGCCTACATCCTACTTTGATACATCAGTAGATGGGATTCCTGCTCAAGAGGATCCTTGTAGTTGTGGTGTTTTTATGTTAGGTTTTGCATTTTTGCTTGCAAGAGGCCACTTCCCTCCATTTGCTTTCTCACAAGACAATATTTATGATATGAGGCTTAGAATAACATTTGACATTTTGTCCATGATTAGATAGGAAAGTCAATGAGGTGCGACTAAAGCTACAGTCCATAGTTAATATTTTGTTGATGAGATTGACATGTTTACTGAGTATAAACATTCGAGGTAAAAACTTGACGTTGTATTATATTTTGAGCACAAGCAACACGAGAGCATGATTGTTTTGAACTTGTATTTTCATGACTGTCACATTAAATTTTTCCTTCAGCTGTTCATATATGAGCATTGTTTTGTCGTTCCTTCAACTTTGCATTGCTAAGCTTTGATATATGAACATTGTTTCGTCCTTATTTTGCTTTGTCGTTATTTCGCTTTGTCGTTATTTTGCTTTGTCATTATTTTGCTTTGTCGTTATTTCGTCTATAATTTTCTCATTTCGTTCTGCCATTTTGTAGTTAAAAAAAAAAAGTGAACATGAAAACAATTTCACTTATAACGAAAACACCGTTGATAGATAGATAGATAGATAGATAGATAGATAGATATAGATAGATAGATAGATAGATAGATAGATAGATAGATAGATAGATAGATAGAGGGAGGGAGAGAAATAGATAGAGAGAAAGAGAGAGAGAAAGAGAGAGAAAATTGCTAACGTGGCTTCGCAGGATCGATGCGTGCTTGTTAACGTGGCATGGCGCAGTGGTGCTGACGTGCCACCTAACTAGGAAGCAGCAGATCACACTGTTTGACGTGGCACTTCGAAGTGTTGCAACTTCCACGCTCGTTGCTGACGTGACACTTACCGAAGTTTTACGACTTACCTGTTGACGTGACACCTCTGAAGCAGCACCAACACATCAAGTTAGCATGGCTGAATGGAAACAATGCAATGATCACATATATATTGGGCAGTCACTTGCTCCTCACGTGGACACTACACATCTCCACTCTTGAAAGTGTCACTGGCCATCGATGCGGACGTGACATTTCTTCCGACGATCTGCCACTTAGGCTTGATTGGAGTATGAAACATCTGATATGCGCTGTCATCCGCTAAAGATTGGTGAGAACAGTCACTTGCACTTGTGTGGTTTGACAAACGGTACAACAGGAGACTATGTTGTAGTGCCACGCATCAGAACTTGTTCGTGGACACACGAACATCTGTGAGAAAGATAGTGAAGGGGAAGATTAACTGACACATTGTTGATGAATAGTGTTGTTGATTCATTGATGATACTTACCTGTTGTAGGTTGTCATGTGGATGTCTGTAAACTCACCAGCGTATTGTTGTCTTGATCACACTGATCGTGGTTGCGGGGACCTGTACAGACTATAGGAAACTCATCGTGAGAAATGAAACAAAAACAGTTAAACTTAGGAAATAAAATTGAGACTTCTGATTCCATAATTTATTTTGTTAAATTTATTTTTTATTTCTTGCCATAGAAATTGAAATTCATTTTTAGTGTGCCCGTGAAATTTGCAAGTATCTATAGATAAAATAATAGAAGAAATATACTATAAACACATAAAAAGAAAGGAATGAAATTTAAGTTTTTTAGTCTATTGTGCATAAAACATATTGGGAAAGATAACCTACCTTTGTAAATGTTTGTGTGCGTCCATCTTAATTAGACTCATCCCTCTCATCTTCTC